GGTGGTGATTTCACAACTGTATAAGTTATTAAAAATCATTTAATTGTTCACTTAAAACAGGTGAATTTTATGGCATATAAATTATACCTCAATAAAGTTGTTAAAAATGTTAAGAGACCAGCAGATGGAGTAATGGTTATGTCATCAGACTCCCATGTAATCGACTGCAGTACGAGTCCCAGATCTGGTGACTTAAAACTCATGCCAGGCATGTGTGTGCATGCCCAAGATCCCGAGAGGATGATGAGGGGGATGGAATTAAGGTGTGACCATCCCCCGTGGGGATGATTTCACGCCTTTTGACTCTGTCTCTCCAGTGAGCTTACACACCCTATAGCAAAAATCTCTCTTAAAAAAAACTTAAGAAATAAAGAAACTAAAAAAGTTTCTAGAAATTACCCTGTTCAACTACTACTGCTATATAAGATAAGTCAAAAGAGGAAGGGCATATTTAAATGGATGCAGAGACAAGGAAGATCTTTTGCTCAATTAAGTACATGAATATTACATACTGCTTTGTTCAGAAAATTTTAAAATTATATCATTTATTGCTGTCCACTCAAATATGACATATTAGGATTTTGCGTATTATTTCTAATCTATTTTACTTTACAACAGTAACCTTTAAACAAAAGGACGAGTGAGACTTTGTAAAAAAAAAAAAAGTTACAATCTTATACGGAAATGAAACTCATAAAAGAATCTTCAAATGGAAAGATTAAGAGAAACAATTTCTTCTCAGGGGTGGAGATGGAGTCTAACATCTTTTTTCCCCTAAATATCTAAAGTAAATAGTAATAATGATAACTTTCCAAATGCAAAAATAACTGGGTAAAGCTTCTCAACATTCTTGCATTATAAAAGGGACTGAGTTTCCTCAGAAGGACTGCACAAAACAATCTGAGCAATATATCATGGTCTTCCAGATAGAAATAAGTATATTTGAAAATTTTATTTTAAAAATATACTTTAAGGAGACTGGCAGAAAAGAAGGAACTAGGGGCAAAAAGATCTTGATTCCAGAGAGCTTGACCATTCTGTAGAGCTCCAACAAGTCAACTACTTTTGCAGGCCTATGCCATATCTTTGTCAAATAGAATAAATTCATCTTCATATGATTATTATCAGGACTAAATGGGTCAATACCAGTCAGTATGGCATCCTATAAAAACTTAAGAACTATTAGGAAAGATAATCTGGCAAGAACATGTTCAATAATAACTTTTACTGGGACCAGCAGTTAGAGTAATAGCTATGTCACTGGACTCCCACATAGTCGACTGCGGTTGGAGACCTGAACTAAGCGACTTAAAACTCACACCGGCACATGTGCGTGCATGCCCAAGATCCCAAGAGGAGAATGGAGGAGAAGGAATTGTGGCGTGGCCATCCCCCCTGGGGGGTGATTTCTCGCTTTCTTTCTCTCTGTCTCTCTCTGTCTGTGTGGCGAGCACATGCGTCCTATAGTGAAAACCTCTCAAAAAAAAAAAAAAAAAGAATAACTTCTACTAACGATCACAAGTAAGGGTTAGCTAAACTGCATGATGGTTAAGGCAGAGGGATCCCATATGGTTGACTGTGCAATTTGGAGTCCAAGACCCAGCTGCTTGAAAAACATGCTGGGTACATGTGCATGTGTTTCCAAAATGGAAAAGGAGGACAAGAGAATGGAGGAGAAGGAATTGTGGCATGGTCATCTTCCCTGGGGGGTGCTTGCTCAGTTCTCTCTTTCTCCCTCTCCCTCTCTGGAAAGCACACATGCCCTATAGGGAAAAAAAAATCACAGTGAAAATTCACTGTGTTTAAAACATCATACCATAAGAAAATTTCTACATGTATATGATAGTTAATAAGAACCCAAAATAAACTTGCTCAGCTGTCAACCCAAAAGAAGTAGTCAAAAGACTATGGACATTAAAATTAGTAAAAGAAAGAAAATCCTAATAGTAGGGAACCAACTAATAAATGTAATTGAGAGTAATAGAATTTTTTAAAATTACTATGTGTTAAACATCACAGCAACAAATTTTGTAATGCTGTGATGTTTCAAGCAATGGTGGACGATTATGCTAAAATGGTTAATATAGTCCCAAAGCATCTCACCAAAATTAAAAAGGAAAGGAACAGTAACTTTATGATGGCGAGACCTAGCATACAAAATCTTAATCAAATGAGTAACAAACATCACCAGTAACAAAGCAGCACTGTGTACTTCCTGACATGGTGTACTGAGAGTAACACATCCTTTCTGATGTCTTCTAGGTAAAAAAACGAATACTCTAATCATGAGAAAAAAATCAAACAAACCAAAATTGAGCGACTTTCCACAAAATAACTGATCTTTGCTGTTCAAAATTATCCATGTTATTAAATAAAATACCTTAGGAATATATATATACACATATATACTATATATATATATATATATAGAAAGACAAAGAGAAACAGAGAGACAGAAAGCAAGAAATCATCCCCCGGGGGAGGATGGCCACCCCACAATCCCTTCTCCTTCATTCTCCTCTTGGAATCTTGGGCATGCACACATACGTGCCCAGCATGACTTTAAGCCACCGGATCTGGGATTTGAACTGCGGTCGACTACATGGGAGTCCAGCGACATAGCCATTACACTATCTGCTGGTCCCAGGAACCAATCCATATTAAAGAAAAATGAAGAGTCTTGACAGCTGAATGCTATGCATTACATGAGATTTCTTTTGCTATGAAGATATAATTAAGACAACTGGCAAAAACTTATTTTGGTTATATATTAGTTATTATCATGATATCATTGTTAATTTCCTGCTTCTGATTAATTACATCACAGAAGAAATCTCTGTAATTAGTCTGCCATAAGAAAATACCATAGTCTAGGTGGCTTAAATAATAGAATTTTGTTTCTCGCAATTCTGAAGTATGGAAGTTGGAGATTATGCTGTGAACATGGTTAGATTCTAGAAAAAAATCTCTCTTCCTAGGTAGCAGATGACCATTCTATAGCTGGGTCTTCTCATGGTCATCAGAGATGTGAAGACCTCCTAAAGACCCCTTCTCTAAATATACATTTAGGATTAGTGCTCCTACACATGAATTTTTAGAAAATACAATTCAGTATTAGGCAAGCAGGTGGTGTGGTGGTAAGGTGCTGGACTGCCACATGGTTGATCATGGTTTCAGTCCCAGACCCCGGTGGCTTGAAAATCAGACCAGGTGCGAGTACATGAGTGCCCGAGATTCCAGGAAGGGAATGAAGAAGATGGGTTTGCGGCATGGCCATTGTCCTTGGGTGGTGATTTCCCATTTTCCCTTTAATTGTATCTGTCTGTATCTGCTTTGTGCACATGCCCTCTGGCAAAAACCTTAAAAACTATACACACACACACACACATACACACACACACTCACACAGACCCAGAGCTATATATGCAGAGAGCAAGGCAAAGAGGAAAAACAAAAGGGGGGGGGGGAAAGGAAATCCAAAATTATGATTTGTAGACTCTGAATAAAAGGTATATGGGGATACTTTGTAGTATTTCTACTTCTCTAAGTCTGAAATTATATCAAAATATAAAATTTAAACAAAAGCACTCATTACAATCTCTCTGATTATACCTAGACATATCTATATAGATAGAGATGAACAGATATGGTGTAGACCTTAGGCAGCTGCTCCTTCCATTAAAAGTTATTAGAAACCATAAAAGTTGTGCTAATATGTAATTGCCAAGAAAAATCAGATACTTAAGTACTCAAAAATTTTTTTTCAAGGAACTATCTGGATATTGAAGTTATTTTCCATTGGCTTGTCCTTATAGTTCATTTTCCATGTCATAAGTTTCCCCTCTTCCAAGAGGGAAAACAATGTAACATCTGTTTCTAATTTCAAATAACCTCCTATTCTGGATATAAAAGACTTATTGATTACCACATCCTTCTCCCTGATACTAACACTGATCTCCATGATCACAAACATTGCCAGTGTTAAAAAATAAACAATAAGCAAGCAGGAGCGCTGCACTTATTCAGAAAACAATGTTTCAGTGCTTCATTTTAAAAAAAAGGATTACATTATACTTTTGAATCAGAGCTCACTACATGTTATGATTTTTTTTTCTCTATTTTATTTTCCTTCCTCTCTGTTTTTTTTTTTTTTTTTTTTGGATTTTATTAAATCAACATTAAAGTCTTCCAGCAAAATACTGGATGAACTCACTAGCCAATGTCTACAGATATTAACTCAAATATCCTTTATTCTATACTATTAAACTTTCTCCATAAACAACCTCTTCATATTGAATTTAAGAAGCAACTTACCTAACCATAAGGAATGGGCTAAAAATGAAAAAATAGAAAAACTAAACCTAAAGACCACTATCTTTTCATAAATATAAATAACAATAATTACTATAATTATTACACAATGACAGCTGCTATTTATTGCCTTGTGTGCTAGGACATTTTATTAACACATGGTAACATTTGCCATGTTATCTTTACTCTTTAATAAACAAATTTGTTATCAAAGTAGTTAAAATTATTTGTTCAAGAATGCCAAGTTTTTTCATGGGTGACAGAGTAAGTATGCGAATACATGTCTAAATACACAACCCTGAACTCTTTTCACTGTGGTAGTTCCCAAAATCTGTTCCAAAAACTAACATATGTTAAGGTGAGAAAAAGGGTCCCATCATCCAACAGTTTGGAAAATGTTGAGTAAAACAAAATTAATAGAGTTATTTTTTTACTCCAGGGTATCACAATCTGTAACACGCTGGTATATGTTTTGAATTTCAGAGGGAGAGATGGTTTATAGCAGCACAGAAATTCTATTATATTTAGAGAGCCCCCATATGGATGCCCGACAGAATGTAAAAAGCTACACTATACTGTGTTGTCCAAAAATAGAGCAGAGATCCTGTGTTTGTTAAGCAATGCCAAGGTGGAAGCTTGCGTGAGTTGTGGGCAGGTAAAGCTGTGAAGAGACAGGACTTCTAGCTTACCATTGTGCATCCTGGACCATCCATCTCTTTCACAGTCTCTGCCAGAAGATCCAAATAAAGCATCAGCCCTGGGACTTGGGGGATCAACCTAGAAGAAGTAGGATTTCAACATAAAAGACAGCTTAAATATTCCCAGTTCTTCAATTGGATGGCGCCAGGAAAATGACTAGCACACACAGGCCACATATCATAAGGTTAACATGGTAGGGCCCATATGGCTGAGGCACATTCCGTGTCAGAGTTAAGTATTTTCTTGTTGATTTTTATACAAAATTGAAATTAGTTTTAGACTTTTTAGGAGATTTTTTGCTACATGGCACATACACTCTCCTGAGAGATAAAGTGAGACATAGAGATAGAAAGTGAGAAATTAACTCCCAAAGGGGATGGCTACACTGCAATCCCTTCTCCTCCATTCTCTTCTTGGGATCTTGGACACACACATACATGCACCCAGCATAAATTTTAAGTTGCCAGGTCCAAGACTTGAACTGTGGTTGACTATGTGTGAGTTTAGTGATGTAACCATTACACCATCTGCTGGCCCCAAAATCTAGACATTTTAGATGATGTATTTGTACCTATTTTTAAATGAACAGATTTGTAGTTGAAATAGCCATTATCCTGTTGCCCAGTGTGCATTCTATTACAAGATTTTAAAAAGTGTAATCTACTTTTGTCATATTAAGAAGAAAAAAAAAAGTCTAACAATTTGTTACTTAGATCCCTAGCATGCACATTTTGAATTCAGTGTCTTTTCACAGCTGTGTTCAGAGCCTAGCACATGCTAAATGACTCATAAATATTAAGAGTCAACACACTTCCTAATCAAAAATAAAAAGCTAGAACAATATATTAAAAAGCCATCCTGATTTATCAAAGTTAAATACTTTTGTGCATTCAAGGACAAAATCATGAGAGTCAAAAGGTAGTCCACGGGAAGGGAAATTTCTAAGTTATATATTTGAAAAAGTGTTATTAATATCCAGACTAAAGTGCTCCTAGAACTCAACAATGACAACAACAGAAACAGAAGAATGTTAGTGAGGACGTGTAGAAATTGGAACCCTTACATTTTGCTCATGGGAATTTAAATGTACATATCACATTTACTTACATATCACCATACAGTGGAATATTATTCAGTCATCAAAAGGAATCAAGTACTGATATAAACATACTTGAAATTTCAAAAACATTGTGCTAAGTGAAAAAAAGTCAGACACTAAATGTCATGTAGTCTATGATTCCACTTATATGAAATAGTAGAAAAGGCAAATCATAAGACAGGAGGTAGATACATCATTGCCATGCTACAGGTAGAGGAAAACTGGGAAGTGAATATTTAATGACTTCAGGGATATAGGTTATAAAAACTTTCTAGAACCAGATGGTTACACAACTGTGAACTTCCTTAGTGCCACTGGTTGAAAATGGCTGATGGAGCTAATAGGAGGTATGGTGGTTAAGGTGCAGGACTCCCAAATGGCTGAGTTTGGCTTGAGTTCCAAATCCAGGTGCTTAAAAATCATGCCAAGTGGTGTGTGTGTGTGTGTGTGTGTGTGTGTGTGTGTGTGTGCCCAGAATCTAAAGAGGAGACCAGAGGAGAAGAAATAGCAGTGTGGCCATCCCCCGGGGGGTGGGGGTGGGGGGTGGTTTCTCACTTCCCCTCCTTCCGTCTCTTTCTTTGGTGAGTACATCCTCCCTATCGCAAAAATCTAAAAAAGAAAAATAGAAGTAAAAATGGTAAATCTTATGCGTATTTTATCAAAATAGAAAAAAAATCGTATTCTGCTTAAATGAAAAACCATTTAATGCTTCTAGGATAGTCCTGCCAGTTTATGTGGAGGCACGCTAATTTCTTAAAACAGCTTCCTGACCCAGCCATGGTGGAGCAGGAGGGAGGGAATTGCTGGGAGATACTGGAGCCATAATGGAAGGCCTAGAGTTCACATCCAGGTCAACCTGAACACACTGTGTACATCTATGAGTCCACAGTCCTGACTGGCTGGAAGGCTGGGAGGAGGATCACAGTGTGTCAAGATCCTGTCAAGGATGTGTGTGTGTGTCATAAAAAAAAGAAACTTTTAAAAAGAAAATAGAGAGGGAAACAGCAGTTAGCGTAATGGCTATGTTGCTGGACTCCCACGTAGTCGACCGTGGTTCTCGTCCCGGACCCGGTGGCTTAAAACTCACGCCGGGCGCATGTGCGTGCGTGCCCAAGATCCCGAGAGGAGAATGGAGGAGAAGGGATTGCGGCGTGACCATCCCCCCTGGGGGGTGATTTCTCGCTTTCTGTCTCTATGTCTCTCTCTGTCTGTCTGTCTGGCGAGCGCACACGCCCTATAGTGAAAAACCTCTCAAAAAAAAAAAAAAAAAAGAAAATAGAGAAAGCTTAATCACCTACAAAATGAAATTGCTTCTTACTCTTTAAGATTACTTTTCATACCATGTATGTAAACAGAATGTGTTTCCTAAAAGTATTAACATTTTATATGTGCATATATTAAGTTAAAACTTTGTTTGGTTACCAATTTGCTAAGTAGTTTTAAAACATGAATGGCTATAGGGGAATAAAAACATCCGTAAGTATGTATATACAACTGGAAAAATCCAATTTTATATTCAATAATGTAATTTTCTAAGTATGCCTTTCTGTTTATATAAAAGGAGGAGGTGTGGGGAGGAACCATTTAAATAAAAAGCAATATTAGAATTATTACATTTTGAACACTGGCATGAGAAGTAATAACAGAACATTTATGGTAGTTATTTCCCCAAATAATTTTTAGGTAATTAGTCTCGATAGTATTTCTATTTACCTTTGTAGATAGGTATTTAATTAAAATACTACTCTTCCTTTGGATTAGAATATATATCCTTTCTTTTAAATTTAATTTGTAATTGTCAGCAGATGTAAAATTAAAGGCATCCTAAAATTGCCATCAAACATACAAGTAAAGCATTAACAGGATATTGTTCAAACAAACAATAAAATGTGATCAGAACTTATAATCAAACTATATAGAACTAAGACAAACTTAATTACAATAACCTCAATAAAATACTACCAGTTAAAAGTATCTGTTACACTATGAACTTTTTAGTAATAAAATAGTCTATTACTTTAGGTCAAAATAATAAAGGATTCATTAGTCACAATATAACAAAAAATAAAATAAAATGAAATGCTGTGAATGCACAATTAAATTGTTATAGAAAGGATATCCAAGAAATCTGAAATTTCAGATGCTGGTATATGTTCAAAAGTATTAGACCACCAAAGGGGTATATTTATCTGTTATATTAATTCATTTTTTAATTTAGAAAAAGTGAATTAAAGACATTACAGTGAAAAATATTTTTGCAGATAGCTCTAAAAGTTGTTTTGCTTCAATAGATATTTAAATCCTATCCCAAGGGATATGTGTGTGTGTGTGTGTATTGGGGGGGGTATGTGTACATATATATGTATATATTTATTTGTGTGTGTGTGTGTGTGTGTGTGTGTGTGTATTATTAACTATTGTTTTAATCAAGTTTTAAGTTTTTGGTATGGAATTGTTTTTACAGTAAAAATACTTTATAAAAATTTAGGAAACTATAAAAATTCTAAGAAAGTCCTTTATTAAATATTCTGATTAAAAACACTTAAACTTAGCCAATGTCTATTTGACTAACATAACACGGACACAAGACTCTAAACTTAAACCATATCAAATGTAGGCTTCTATAAAGAAAGATTAGAACTATGCCACCCTTATGTTAACTCTCCTCACTTTCAAAGGCCTTCCAATAGCCATCAAATGATTTGCTTCAAAGATCCATTATGTAAAGCTTACCCAGGGGACAAAATTTCAAAGGAAACTTACTTTCCATTAAAATTTTTTAAAAGGCTGGGGTAGATGCGGGTCTTCCTTTTCATAAAGAACACCTGGTTCTTTTTAAAAACCCTATTCTGCCATTTTAGTACTAATGTCAATTACAACCAAGTTCAATTTGTACAGTTATTACACTGTCCACTGTACAAGAAGAAAGTAAATGGGTACTTAGAGGATTTAACATGGCATTCGTAATGGAGCCTGATCTCGGTCAGGCTTTAAAGACTGAAAAAAGTATGTTCTTTTATTCTAAGTTAATTTTCCATTTTAGATTGGTAGGCCAAAATTCAGGAAAGAAAAAATGTTAATATAAACTAGAAGTTGAAAGACAGTTCAGAATAATATTTAAGTGGAAGAACAGATTTGATCAGTTTCAAATGGAAATGCTTAAGAGAACACATACATGTCTAATCACAAATGGAGGTTTATCAGTTTCTTTTTTGAATTCATAAGGCCCCAGATTTAAATGGGCCAGCCGCCGCCTGGTGTCTTCAGATAGCTCACACATACGTCTTTTTGTGTAGGGAGATGGAGAGTGTGATTTTGAAGAAATTGTAGGCTGTTCGTAGTTTTTTGCATTTATGCAGTATTTATTTCTCTCAGGTGTCTTGGATTTTTTCTTTTGTGATCTTGATGTTCTGCTTTGCAGTCTGCCGTGTGATTTTTCAACTGGAGCTGGATGATAAATAAATTTATCCTAAACATATAAAACAAAAATTAACTTGTGCAGAAGAGATTAAAAAAAAACCAAAAACCTACAAATAGAAAAAAAAAAATTCAAGTAACTTAACTAACACAAAATCTATCAAAGCCAACTAGATTAGTCCTTCCTATCTGTGCTGATCCTAGGAAAAGTAAAATCTATATTCTCCTGAATAACTAATAAGATATATTATATCAGGATCACACAACAGAGCAGTGGTAAAACATGAGCTCTGTGCAGCAATCCCGTATGAGGAGGTTCCTGGTTCAAATCTGGAGATCTCCCTGAGTATGCCAGGCACATATATGCCCATAATCCAGAACTGGCCGAAGTTGGGGGTTGTGGTAGTGACTCTCTCCGTCTTTCTCACTAATGGAAGAAATAAATGAATCTTGAAAAAGATACATTGTGTCGAACTTTCTTCTGAATTCTAACAAAGACTTTATGAAAATTAGGGCACAACATTCTAGCATTTGAAGAATCTAAGTCAGTCAGAAAATATTATTCTTCAGTATAATAAAAAGTTAAAGTTTACCGATTATTTAAAATATTGAAATTGGCTATATAATTTCTTCTATACATATGTAGAACATGGAAACCTGAAGAGTAACTCTGAAATGTATTATTTGGATTATACAAAGTGAATAAGACTTTAAAGTTTATTTTAAGATATAACAGTACAATTTAATGATAGACAACCATACCATTTGAATTCTGGTTTCAAATTTTTTATAAAAGCAAAACTGTGTAAGATATATTATAAACTTTAATAACTGGTACTATACCTTCTAATAAAAATGGCTAGCAGCCTAAAAAAATAGAGATTAAAAAACAAATTTGATCTCTTTGATTTTCTTGTAAAATAACAATAAAATTTTCATAAAGTCTCTTCCTCATAAATACCTTAAGAGTGTAATTACAAGTAAATAATATTTCTTGATGCATTTCCTAGAGTTACAAGAAACTTTTCAATTAGAGAAAACGGATGGCTGCGAATCTTTGAATATCTTTCTAACTTTAATCACTTCTAAAAGTTACCAGTCCTAAATCTTTTCTACTTTTTCAACTCCTCTCCCTATTTGTTAAAGGCACCTAGGTAAATAAAATAAAATGCAAATAGAAGAAAGAAGAATCAAATTTTTTTTAAATGGATACCAAAAAAAATGTAAGAAAGAAAAAAGAAAATCTTTAAGGAATCTTTTCCTAAACAAATATTTTGGAATGTTTCTTTTTATGTTTGGGGGTTTCACATTTCAGACTTGAATTTAAGTCAATTTTTATATATGGTAAGAGATCCAGTTTCCCCAGCACTATTGAAGACTGCCTTTTCCCTACTGAATAGTCCTGAGACTATTGTCAAAAATGTATACACAATGGAATACTAATTAGCCATAAAATAATGAGTTCACAGCATTTGAAACAAAATAAATTAACTCAGAAGATATAAAGCTAAGTGAAAAAAGTCAGGCTATGAAAGACAATACTGCATGGCCTCAATAAATACCAAGAGCCCTCACTTACTAGCAGAAGCTAAAGGACTTGCCAACATGGAAGTAGAATAACGGTAGATATTAGATACTGACTGTGGATGGGGGCAGTGAGAGGAATGAATGAGATACTGGTAAAGAGACACAAGAGTGCATGTAAATATTTGGAATAGGTTTTGGAACAGTGTACCTCAACAGAGTAATGAACATCAGTGACAAAGTAATATATATGCCCAAAAATACATTAAAGTGATTTTCAGGTGTGCATAACACAGTGTGGGGTTTAATGCCGGGGATGATGATGTGCTTACATTCTTGAATTGATTGTCACACACTGAATACAAGCTTTAAAAAGCCACACTGTACCTCATGAAGATGTTAAACAGTTATATATAAATCAGAAATTACAATAAATTTTTTTTCCTAATTGGTAAAATAAATCTGTGAGTTTCATACTTACCAGTAGCATCAGATTATTTCATCTTTCTTTCTTCTATAGTTACTAATATGCTCCTGGACCTTCTCCCACCTTGTTCAATGACTTCAATAAGTAATTCAGAATTTTTCTACCTTACCCATTTCATCTAGCTCTATGACATCACACTGACTCACAGCAGTAGGGAATGTTGGCACTAGAAATAATCTTTGAGGTTTACTAAAACTCAAGCAATGCATCTTTCTAAGACCTTGAAATAGAGTTTGTATTTCTCAGCTTTAATTATCTTTTTCTACTGCATCCTGGATAGACAGATCTACTGCATCCCCAATTCTGAAAATCCCTTGCTGATTAAAACTTCTTTCCTCAGTCTACTCTTTTATTCTTACCGAACTTGTTTCCTGCTTTCTTCGCCTCTTCAGTCCCTTGAACTCTTTCTCCCAGTGCTTCATACATTGTTTTTCTTTTTTAAGATTTCTGCCATAGGACACATGCTTTCACCAGGAAGAGAGAGAAAGAAATCACTCCCCCAGAGGGGATGGCCAGGCAGCAATCCCTTCTCTCTTATTTTCCTTTCAGGATTTTGGACATGCATGAATGCAAACCCAGAGTGTTTTTCAAGCCACAAGATTTGGGACTCAAACAGCAGAGTCATCCATGTGGGATCCAGTGCCTTAACCATCACACCACCTGCTCATTTCTGTCACATGTTTTTTTGTATCTCTGACCTCCAGACCAATTGAACAGATTATCGTCCATTACAGCAATGCTGTAAAATTCCTTCTTATGTATCTCTCATTAGTATAAACGGTAAATTAATTCCATCTTCTTTCTTCATTAAAGTTTTTGAATGTTTCATATTATTAGCAGAAGTTATCGACTACATAGTATTTACTAAAAATGCATGTTATCTAACCCCACTTTCATTCATTCATTCATTCATTCATTCCATAATAGAGTGAGAACCAGGTCTTTACACCATGATCCACCCTGAGCTTCAGCCATCTAAAATCCCAGGCACACGGGAGCATTTCCAGTATACACATGGAGCCCAGGCTCTTCCCAGGTGGCTTTGCCATTGCAGAATGCTACATTACTAGAGCTGGCCTTGACTCTTTTTTCAATATAACCTTAATATATAACACTAAAAAAACAAAATAGTGGCTGTGGTATATTGTTTATAAGATGACTGCCATAATTTCCCTTCCTGTACCTCCTCCTACAGTGACTTTAGGTTTGGCCATGTGAACACCTTTGGCCACACAGAACAACTGTACATGTGAAATAAGAAAAGACCTGGAAAGTGCTCATCCCTATTCCTGAAAACCAACCTGCCACCAAGTGAATGAGGATCCTACTGATAATTAGAGTGGAGACATTTCCCTAGGTGGTCCAGGCTCATCACCAGAAGCATAAGGTCTTTTCCTACCAAAACATCTGCCAACATCCTGACATGTAGTGAAGCCATTCTGTTTCATTAAGCCCTAGTCAGTCAGTCCAGATCAAAAGAACCACCATTTATATCCATAAAATGGTGAGAAAAACCTGCTACTTCAAGCCACTAGGTTAGTCATGTTTGTTATACAGTAGAAGCTGCATGACACAGCAGATTAACAAACTTGTATTAATAATGTTACTATTGATATTTAGTTTCTTAAACATCAATTACACTTTGTAGTAAGTAAAAAGAATAATTGAGTAGAAAAGAAAACTAGCTATATGCTGGAAAAGAAATCACAACTTGCTTAATTTTGTAGTCCATTCATTTGGTGATAAAATATCCAATTTCAAATAAGTACCAAAGGGAATAAAGGTCATTACAAATATTTTTAATCCTAAATAATTTTATAAAGTTTTATTTTCTCAAAAATCAAAATGGTTTTGTTTTAATCTTATCTTAGAAACAGAAAATGCTACATCACAGCAATTACATTTTTAATTGTAACTAATATTCACTTGGAAAAAAGGAGATTTATCACCTTCTTAAATAAGATCTAGGACTGTGAAACATTCAGAATTTTAATGTAAGAGTGAATAATCTATTGTGCCTACTAGACAATGTTTTCTACCTTATATTTCAACTACTTTGTTCTGTATCATCCCCAATTATCTTAATTAAAAACAGACAGTCTTATTAACCGCTGGTAAATTCATTAATTATATGTTATATGCCAGGCTCATTAAATATATTCTTTAATTCAATCTTCACAGAGGCTAATGGCCTTATGAGAAATTTGAATCTAGACTTATTTATAATGCATATTTTCTTAAACACTGTTAACACCAAAGTCTATTCACTTACCTCTCTGTCCAATAAAGATCAAAATCATTGAAATTCTTAGTTAAAAAAAATGGAAGAATATTGCCTAAAGTTTACAGAAGAAAATGTTAGTTTGTAAGTACAATGAGATGGGTGACAACATTTAAAAAAAGAGCTCCCACTGAGCTGTACACTTAAATGTACTTTTCTGTGTGTGTGTGTTACACTTCTAACAAAATGTTAAAAAAAAAAAAAGACATATCTAGCCATCCCGTAGAAGAGCATACCCCAGTGTGAACAAAACAATTGACTGAGTCCAGGCAAAGAATTTCTAACAGTTTCCAAATGTGCACAATGTATAAGTCTCAAAGTATAAGTCTCAATGTTTAAGTCTCAAGATTACAACATTAAGTCTCTCATAGCTGTGTTTTGGCTTGCATTTAAAAAATAATACATCCTGACTCTAAAATACTAAATATCCTGCTAAACAAAGTAAGAATAGTCCCTTCAATAACTCCATAACTATATTTTACCTTTCTTAAGCTTAAGTGAAGGTTATCATTCTCAGCAAATGCAGTAAATTAATATTTTACTTCTTCCATGATAGGCCCAGTCTTGCCCTGTTTGAGCCCTCTGGGGTTTATATACCACTGGCTGTTCAACACTGTCACTGTTACCTGGTCACAATGCAACTGCACATGAATGATGCCTACACATTATTACACAATCTATAGACAACGTAGCAAGACCATCACTGTAACTCAGCAAGAAGTTAGACCAGAGAAAAAGATTACATCAAGCTATCTCAATTTACTAATGGCATTTTTCACATAGAAGGAATTTGGGCTGAAAAACCTGAGCTTCCTTGATCTGACAGCACCAATATAGCCACCAAACTGAGAAATTAGAGACACTCAAGAAACTGTACTAATTCAACACCAATATCCCAGTCTGAGACCCCCTGGTCACATTTGCTGAAAAGGTTTTTGATCTTTGAACCTTTTACAGTAACCTATAATTTCTGTTGGGTCATTGGAAAAGCCATGACATATATTTTTTTGTGTGCAGAAATCCATCATGACTTTCCCAACAACCCGAATATAAGATTCACAGAAGTATCCTTATATTATATGAGAAGTCTGTGGAACTTGTTGATCTCAGCATCTTTCTAGCAGCCAGATTTCTGTGCATTAAAATAATAATAATAAGTGGACCAGCAGTTAGCATAATGGCTATGTCGCTGGACTCCCATGTAGTCAACTGCAGTTTAAGTCCCAGACCCAGTGGCTTAAAACTCATGCTGGGTGTGTGTGCATGCGTGCCCAAGATCCCGAGAGGAGAATAGAGGAGACAGGACTGCGGCGTGGCCATCCCCCCAGGGGGGTGATTTCTCGTTTTCTGTCTCTCTGTCTCTCTCTGTCTCTGTCTGTCTGGCGAGCGCATGTGCCCTATGGCAAAAACCTCTCCAAAAAAAAAAAATAATAATGTAAAAAAAAATTAATAAAGAAAAGATAAAAAGAACTGCAGCCAAATTAAAAGAATAATGTTTGTCAAATGGCCATGAATATGAACAAATAAACAATCAGATGATTTAAATAAATTATTTTAACCTGAGCGCGGCACTTCCTTGAACTTATCAGACATTCAGTGATCACCGAAGTTGTAGAAAATTCCAGCTTTGGAGCAATTCCCTGAAAGAGAAAAATAGGTTGTTATTAGACATTTCCCTTTAAAAAGAGGTAATTATTACTGATAAGAAATGACATAAAGTAACGAATACTTGTCAGGGTTCAGCTGCTGCATTTGTTAGTTTGAACTTAGTAAACATAGACAACATAATAATGCCAAGTGTTAGTGAGAAAGTTTTATTGCTCATGATTTAGTTATAAGTGTTTATATTACTTTTACAAAATCATACTTTGTTTTATTTTCAAGCATTTCCTGTCAAACTGTTTGAAAATTTCTGAACTATGCTATGGAATTATAGTCATAAGTATATGGACCGACATAAAAGAGCTCAACACTTCTTACTACTACAATTTAAGACATATTTGACTATACAGTCATGAAATAATTTGTTGATTAGCTTCATTTAGACATTCTACAATGTATGCATATATCAAAATATGTTGTATAAATATATATAATTTATGTTAATTACAATTTTTAAAAAAATAATATTGTGAGCAGTCTCTTCAATTTTTTAAAAATCACAGGTTTTGAGTATACAGGTTCTGAAAACAGAAGAGACATAATTCTTTGTCAATTTTTTTTTTTTTTTAAAGAGAGAGACTTTTGCTATAGGATGTGTGTGCTTCCCAGAGAGACAAAGAAATGACCTCCTAGAGAGATGACCATGTGAAATCCCTCCTCTATTCTCTTTTTGAGATTTTGGGCACACACACACACACATACATGCCTGCTGTGAGTTTAAGCCACCAGGTCCGAGACTTGAACTGTGGTCGACTACTTGGGAGTCCAGCAATGTAACCACTGTGCCATCTGCTGGTCCCACTTTGCCAATTCCTTTAACATCATTTCCTGTAATGCAGCTTGCATTCAGATCTAGGAATGAATCTGGCTTCTATTTCTAGCAACATTTCAATCATTACTTTGAATGCTGTTTGAGATAAGGGAAGACTAATGGAGTTCAAAAGGATAGTCACAAAGTCGCTGAGAAAATGTTTGGAAACACACGAATGATGCATTCATCCACATGTAAAGAGCATCACCTGAGCCCAGAGTAGCTTCACCCTAACAGTCAGACATCGACCCAGGTGCTAACATCTGGCCTCTAGCAAACTCAGCCTGTGACCAACTGTCTTAGTCCACTATCGTGTTGATTACAGAAATACCTGAAATTGGGTGAGATATAAAGAACAGAGATTTATCTGAGTCCTGATTCTGGTGGTTGGAAAGCCCATAGATGAAGGCTGGCATCGCAACACAGCTGAGAAGCAGAGAGGATGGAGGCGAGCGCAGAGAGAGACCTGGGGGCAGGCCCTTTCCTTTTATAGCAACGAGTCCTCAGGAGAACTAACCCCTTCTCATGAGAACTAGAACTCACCGGGTCTTGTGAGACATCATAAATCCTTTCATGAGAGTGATGCTTCCAAAGTCTGATTACCCCTAGTAGTCACTACCTCTTACTCCCTACCAAACCATCACCCTCTAAATTTCAAAACTTCAATATTTGGGGGACATTAACCAGTCCAAAACACCAACTAAGTATAAAGTTTAAAATATCACACATGTTGGGAACCAGCAGTTAGCGTAATGGCTATGTCGCTGGACTCCCACGTAGTCGACCGCGGTTCGTGTCCTGGACCCGGTGGCTTAAAACTCACGCCGGGCACGTGTGCGTTGCGTGCCCAAGATCCCGAGAGGAGAATGGAGGAGAAGGGATTGCGGCGCGACCATCCCCTCTGGGGGGTGATTTCTCGCTTTCTATCTCTATGTCTCTCTCTGTCTGTCTGGCGAGCGCACGCGCCCTACAGTGAAAATCTCTCAAAAAAAAAAAAATTAAAATATCACACATGTTGCAGAAAATGTAAATATGAGTCCCCTAAGAATGAAATGAAATATTGTTTTCCTGCCATGATATCATTTTTAAATCATGTATCTACTCTGTCGGCTTTTAGTTATCGACTGCTACATATTACCCAACACCTGGCAGTAGAAAGCATCAGTAAATCCTTATCCCACATAGTTTCTATGGTCAGAAATCTGACAGAGATAGAGCTGGGTGTTTCTGGCTTAGACTCTCTCATGAGACTACAGTCAAGATGCTGTCTGAGATGCAGTGAGCTGAAGGCCTGACGGCGGCTTGAGAAATTGCTTCCCAAGAAGGTTTATTCACATGGCTATTGGCTGAAGGCCTCAGCTCCATTTCAGTTTTTGAAAAGAAAAAAATAAACAAAAAAAAAACGTAGCTCCTTATCACATGAATTTTTGCACAGGGTTGCTGAGTGTCCTCCTGTTGTGGCAGCTAATTCCCCCAAAGGGGGTGAGCCAAGAGCAAAGCAAGGAGGAAACCACAATGACCCAGCCTCAGCAGTCTAACCGTCACTGCAACCACATTCTATAAATTCAAGTCCATCCTCAAGGACAGAGGGGAGAGGCTACCTTTCCAATGGAAGAGTATCAAAAAATGAGTACACAGATTTTAAAAACACTGCACTGTGTCCTCTTGCCACAAGTTACTTACATTCCTTTGACATGCGAAGCACACTCATGTCCTTTCCAAAGACAGAAGGAAAAAAGAAAAATCTCTCCTCCTTTTACAACTTCAGTTTCAAATTGAGCATGCTGGCATCTAAATCAAATGCTGCCATAGCTAAGCGTCCTCAGGTGTAGTTCTTTAAGAAGAGCCCTGCAATATAGTCCCTCACAATCAGAAGAACTATGGACTAAAGAGATGAGTTACCTGCCCCGCACGTACTCAACACACACGCACACGCACGCACGCACGCACGCATGCACGCACAGGTCAAACCACTGCACACATCACAGTTCACAGAGTGAGAAGGCAGGGGGCAAAGAGAAATCACTTTGAAATACAGACAAGGAAATGTTCAAAGTTTCTTGAAAAGGACTTAATCCTAATTCCTGCTCAAAAATAACTATGTGTGGTTCTTGGCTCACATTCTGAGCTCTTGCTTTCGTTCTTTAAATCATAATTCCTTTGCAGTAAGAGGTACGCTGTTTGGACTTGTACAGTGTTCTGAGCTTGGATCCTATCAAAAAGTCTTTTCATTTTGGCAAGTCTCTTTCCATTTCAGATGAAGCTGGTGGTAGTTCTGCCTATTTAATGCTTTTATTTTTGTTTTTTTTGTTTGTTTGTTTGTTTTTGTGTGAACCATGTTAGAGTTCACTCTGTTATACAAAACACCCTTTTCCCTAATGGGCTTGCTGAAGGCTGCTGAGGAACAATTCCGTAAAGTATCTTAGAAAACAAATGTTTAGTTAAATGATTTTCTAAGGCAACACGTTAGATCTGAGGTTTTAATGAAGGATTTTAGTCACACCATCGGTTTACTATCAGACCATAATTTCCTATAAGTGTTCTGGAATGATTTTTTGCTCAGAAATAATTTCTTAATTTTGCACTGTGCACCATTAGGAATAGCTGAGAATCATCAGAAACACTCAGTTCTAAGTCCTTTTTGTTTAACCTTTCCTTTCATTTCTTTCTCCCTTCATACCGGGCTATATAAGGAACACAAAGTAGCCAGGTAACCCCTCTAACGCTCTGTTTGAAAGTCTCCTTAGACAGAACACCCATTTCATTAGGTATTGTTTTTAGCATGCCACATCACTGCAGGTGATTATGATGTTAAGACTCTCTCCTATTACGTAATGCAATCCATATTACAAAGGATCTCCTTTTCTGCTAATTCCCAGTAACATTAATCTCACTTTCCTGCAAATGCTTATCTGGCAGTTTCTTTAAGAAGCTTCAAGCTTTTTTTTTTTGGAGAGGGGAGAGGTTTTTGTTATAGGGCACATGCTCTCACCAGAAAGAAAGCGAGAAATTAGCCCCCGGGGGGATGGCCATGCTGCAATCCCTTCTACTCTATTCTCCTCTTGGGATCTTGGGCATGCACACACACATGCCCGGGGTGAGTTTAAGTTACCAGGTCCGGGACTCGAACCGCAGTTGACTACATGGGAGTCCGGCAACATAGCCATTACACTAACTGCTGGTCCCAAGAAACTTCAAGCTTTCACAAACATTCTAGCAAAGCCCTTCCAGCTCAGCCTCTGTCTACAGAGCTGCTAGACTGTCCTCATTCATGACAGTTGACTTATACTAGAGTAAGGAATACAAGAGAGGAATCCCAATGTTTTTCATGACTTAGTATCAAGTCTTACAGCATCTCTTCACCATATTATAGCTGTCAGTGTCACTAAGTACACTGAAAGTAGGAACGGCACTGGCTCTGCCTTTGGAAGAGAGGGGAATCAAGGGATTTCTGGACATAGAATTAGCACAGCCTAGACTGAAACTTAGCACCTTGCTCCTCCTGCTAGTCACATAGGAAGTACTTGATTAATGTTTTCACCATTATTTTTATTGATCTTCAAATCCCAACTATATCAGTCAGAGTTCTCCAAAGAGATCTAACTCATAAAATATATGAGGGGTCTTCAAAAAGTCATGGAGAATGCATATTATGAAAAAATCACTGGTTCACTCACTCTGCTAGAAGCCAGCTGTTGTGTGTGATTTCAAAATTGTTTTGCACCAAAATAAACTTGTACTTTACTTCCTTTTGTCCATGAACTTTTCTGAAGTTCCCTCATATGCATAGAAAGAGAGAGATTGATTTTAAGGAATTAGTTCATCCTACTGTTGCGGATGGCAAAAACAAAATCTACAGGGTGTGCTGGCCGGCTGAAAATAAAGGAAAAAGTTGAAGTGAAACCTTTAGCATAAAATTGTAGGCCAGGCCAGCAGGCTAGGAACTCAGGAAGGACTTCTGTTACAGTCTCCTGGCAGAAGGCCTCCAAACACCTGTTTTTGCTCTTCAGGTTTTCAACTGATTAGGTAAAGCCACCCACATTTTCAAAGTAAACTGATTACAAATATTAATCCTATCTACCAAATCCCTTTATAGTAACATCTAGAATAGTGTTAGATCAAACAACTGGACACCACAGCCTAGCCAAATTTACATAAAAAAGTAATCATCACGCCGTCTCAAATATCAGCTCCTCTATGACATCTCCAATAAGATGCAATTCATTCCTTTGATTCAATCGAGGGGCATTTATTAATTTATTACCTACACCATCAAGGTACCAAGCTAACACTTAAAATAAGGAAGTCACAATTCTCTTTTTAAGGAAGTGCCTAAGGGAGAAAACATCACTGTGGCCTCATCGCAACCATGATGTACACAGCTAACATGCGTCACTAACATTTGAGTGTCCCTATATGCCTGTCACTGTTATCATTATTTAAGTTTACATTAATCTATCCAACAATTGTCTCCATATTAAAATGCTTTTCTCAAGATTACTCAGTCCTTGCTAGTGACAGAATTCGATCCCAGATGTGGTCTGAATCCTTACCACAGTGAAGGGTTCAGAACGATAGGTTGGAACTCACAGATATTGTTAGGATGGTGCACTACTGCCTGCCAGGACCACAAACTACTGACTGGAGCAATTTTTCCATTCTTCTTTAAACAGAATTAGATATGGATTTATCCCTGCCATTTGCTATTCAATTTATATATCCTTCCATGGCTTTTTAGATTCTCTGAGTCTTACCTACATATGTATTGGTAAGTGGTCATCCAACCTGTAAGGGTTCTGCCCTCTGCTGATTATCTGTGTTTGGATTAGAAAATATATTCAACACTACAGCCAGGACTCCAGTCTCTGTTGGCTTTTATTTTTGCTGGGTTCTCACTGTCCCCCTACAAATGCAGGGTTTCACAGACACAAGAATGGGTACAGAGCATATCTCAGGTATTCTGTCTTTGTTTTGGCTCCCTTACTTCCAGGCTCTCCCTATCAATCCTCTGGCTGGGTGTTGCTTGTTCCAATTAGAACTGGAATTAGCTTAGCAAAGCTGTGGAGTCTCTTCCTCTGCTTCCAACTGATCTACCAACTTAGCTAGCATGGCCTCACTATTTGTCCCCCTGCCCCAAACTGATTCTACCCCCTGGCAGAAAAGCTGCTATGCTTCACCCAGGCTAGATGAAGCTGGAGCTCTCACTGATCAACCAGGGAAGGGGAATGTCCCAAGTAAGAAGGACACACACTCCTGCCACTTTTACCCAGAGCTTTAGCATCATCATCAGGGACCAGCAGGCGCTGGACACTCCCATATAGCTGACCACAGTTCAAATCCTGGACCTGTGGCTTGCTTTCTCACTTCCTCGCTCTCTCTCTCTCGTTTGCTCTCTCTCTCTCTCTCTGTGTGTGTGTGTCTATCTGATCACATTTTTTAAAAAAGAAATAATAAAGTTAAATAATTATTTTAAAATAAAACCCCAAAACTTCATTGTCTAATCTTTGTTGTCAGTTTCCACTGCCCTGAAAGTTCTTTGTAACATTCTTGTTCAGTTTTAGATGCATTTTGTGTAGAAGGAAGAAGTGCCAACCTCTTCATGTGCCATTACTAGAAGTCCTATTATTTATTTGGTTAGTTTTAGCAATCCAACATTCTCTGAATATATGCAAGAATAACACAAATGAAACGATTTTAAATGAATCTCTGATACTGGTCAATATTCTTGAGTTTATATTGCCGTCTTGAAATAATACAGAATTTTAAATTACTTTTAAAAGACCATAATTTTAAAATATATGTTTTCTCATTGCAGGTTTCCACACAGTGCTCATGGTTTTTTCTAAGTAGTGCAGAAGCTAGTTAATAGACACTGAAAATACCCCAAAGGAGGCATATTTTCATAGACTTGCTACTTGGTTTACTTTTATACTTTCAGCAAGATAAAGTTGCCATTTCTGTGAATAGGGCATAGCATAAACCAAGCACTACAGGACAAATTACTTTATTGACTATATTGGCTCATATCACCCAACTTTGCTTATTCAGACTATTAATAGTTTATAAAATTAGTGAAAAAATTTTGTTCAGATCATTTCAACCTAGACACTTGTGCTTTTCCTCCTTTAAAACAGCACAGGCTTCTCAGTTTTGCTCAGTGGAAGATTCGCTTTCCAGGATAAAAATATTTTGAGGGATCAGCAGTTGGCGTAACGGCTATGTTTCTGGACTCCCATGCAGTCGACCGTGGTTTAGGTCCCGGACTTAAACTCACACTGGGCACATGTATGTGCGTGCCCAAGGTCCTAAGAGGAGAATGGAGGAGAGGGACTGAGGAGTAGCCATTCCCCTGGGGGTAATTTCTTGCTTTCTATCTCTCTGTCTCTCTGTTTTTCTGGCGAGTGCATGTGCCCTATAGCAAAAACCTCTCAAATATTTCACAGAACTTGAATGAAGTTGTAGAAAAGGATGGGAGACTAAGCTGTCACTTACTGCAGCTTTTAATTTTGAGTGTATGAATACTATTTTTAGTCCATGAACATTTTACAATTAATCTATCCAAACTCCTGCCAACAAACATTTCAATTATTTCCAATTACTTTATTATGAACAACACTACAAGTGAGCATTCTTAAGAAAAGTTTTCTAGAGAGAGTATATCTCTAAGATATACACTCAGGTCATAAGCTTTGAGGATCTTTGCCTTTACTAAATATTAATAACTCTAGTAATGCAGATAGCATAGCAGTTATGTCACTGGATCCCCACATGGGCGACCCCAGTTAGAGTCCCAGACCAGGAGGCCTGCAAATCACACCAGGCACGTGTGCATGTGCCTATGTGCCCAATATCCTGGGAGGAGAATGGAGAAGGGGTTGCAGCATGGCCATCCCCCCAGGGGGGTTATTTCTCCTTTCCCTCCCTGTTTCTCTCTGGCAAGCACATATGCCTTAAGGCAAAATCCTCTAAAAAAAAAAAAATCTGAATTGTAATTAATTCAGTTTATGTGGTATAGCAATATACATGAGTTTCCAATGTCTCACGCCTTTGATATTGTCTGTTTTATTATGTTTTTGTACCAGCCTAACAGCTGTAAAAATAAAATCACATGGTTATTTTAATTTGGATTTCTCTAAGTGCCATGAGATCTTTTCAAATGTGCCATAGTCACTCCTTTAAAAAGTAAAAGTGTCCATAATATTTTTAGTTTAAAATATTTTGTGAATCAATAAAATATGGGGAAAAATTTAGTATGGAAGGGAGAGGGGGAAAGGAAAAAAGTAAGAGTATGCTTAATTGAGAAAAAAATGAGAAGCTATTTGCAGATAAGTTATAGAGTAATATCTTTGGCTTGACTGACATGCATAGCATAGCATTTGTGCTGAAAAAAGAAATGTTGTACACTGTAAAGATGTGATTAAATAGAAATAAATTAATTAATTTTAAAAAAAAGAAAAGTGAAAAAAAGACAGACAAATGGGATGGGAATGGGGCAGGAAGAAGAATGGGAAGATGAAAACAGAGAGACTAAAAAACAATATAAGGCAAAATAACAATTATGGGTGATACATGCATGGGTTTTGTTACATTTTCGTTTGGATTTATAAAATGTGGACCAGCAGATGGCAAAATGGTCACATCACTGGACTCCCACGTAGTTGACCCCCACCCCCTTCCAGTCTCAGACACAGCAGCTTAAAACTGAAGCTGGGTGCACGTGTGTGTGTGTGTGTGTGTGTGTGTGTTCCCAAAATCCCAAGAAGTGACTGGAAGAGAGGGGACTGCAGTGTGACCATCCCCCCTGGGGGGGGTGGTTTCTCACTTTCTGTCTTTTCAGCAAGCACACACGCCCTATAGCAAAAATCTCTCTTAAAAACAAAAACACGAAAAAAAAACCCACAATTTTACAAGACAATTAAGCTTTATACCAAATTAAACTTTGAATTAGTTTTTTACATGTAATATGTTGAAGGTTTTGTGGTGGTTTTGACAACGAACATGCATCAAAAACTGACTCAGAAAACAGTAAGCACTTACTCGAAGGCCAGAAATCCTCCTCATGGTAACCTGGCGGTTTGAATCATGGTGTCCAGAAATTTGATTTGGACCCGGGAACATGAAATCTCGTGTATTTTCATCATATGTAGACAGTGTTTCACCCACTACAAGAAAGATAGCCTATGATTCAAATTGTAACAAAGTATTTTGCTTCTAAATAGAAACAAAGATGTCAAGTATGACATATGTATTTCCTGACGCCTTATGGAATTCTTGCTTCAGAGTCATGCTTATTTTCTATGAAAGGAAAATTAAAACAGATTATGTTAAGTGGATTAACACATTTGCTTTTTTGAGAAATAGACAATGTGTTAGTAATTCTCATCCCCTTAAGAATGGGGATATCCATGTAAAATTAGTGAGTACCTATGAGTCCCTGGGGGAATAGAAATGTCTTTTTAGAAACATCACGTTGGTCGGCCAGCCCTGCAGTGCAGTGGTTAAGTGCTGTGCTTTGGCAGCCAGATCCCACAGGAATGACCAGAGTTTGAATTCCAACCCTGGGAACCTGAAAAATACATTTGGTGCAAATGTGTGCATGTCCAAAATCTTGATGGGATGTAGAACAGGAGGAAAAAGGACTGCAGAATTCCATGGGAGGGTTCTCGCTCTCTCTCACTGTCTCTCTCTCTCTCTCTAGTGAGTGTATGCACATCCTTTGGCAATTTACAAAAAATAGATTTCTTCTATAATCATAGAACTCAATGTCGGAAGTAAAACTATCCTTTATATTTTAACTCTACCTCCTCCAGATATCTGTAATGTTTAGTCTGTAAGTAGTATTTTATTTCCCAGAACCAGTAGGTGCCATGGTGGTTAAGGTGCTGGACTCCCACATGGCTGACCATGGTTTGAATCCCAGACCTAGCAACTTGCTTTTTCACCTTCCCTCTTTCTATCTCTCTCTGATTAAATTCAAAAAATAATAATGATAATAAATAAAATTAAACAAATATTTTTAAAAGATTTTATTTCCTTCCATTCCCATAGCCCATGCACAGAAATAGAGATAACTATTTTATCAATAAGAAACATATAGTATTAGGAAAAAAACGTAAAAGTCAATTTTTATGACTATCACAAAATATCCTAGAATGATGTTATTTTCCAACTTTAATTATCGCTATTCGGTTTCAGAATAATGCACTCAAGTGACGCCCATGGTAATTTTTCTTTATTGTGCTGCTCTAATACTATCTTTCACATAGCAAATCTATTGTAGAAATCCTATCTTGTTCTTCATTTAGGATAAAGAGAGAAATATATTTTAAAAAAAGAAAACAAAAATTCATTGAAACGATTTCCCATGTCAATTATCAATATTTAATACAGTACCTGGTGGAACTAGCTGTATCAACTCAAACACTGCTGTATCATCTGAAAGTTTAAAAAAAATTCTTTAAATGAACAAAATAATAATAAACAAAAATTAGTTACTTCACCACAGAAGACTCTAAAAGCCAATGTATTCACTACACTAATATGGAGACCTCACATATCTTAATAGATTATGTACATTTTTATAAATATAAGTCATACTGATTTCTTAAGTACAGTACTATGTACAACTAGGAATAATATAATACTCTTATACTTTTACTGTGTCTTAAATATTCACATATCTTAATAGATTATGTACATTTTTATAAATATGTCACATTGATTTCTTAAGCACAGTACTATGTACAACTAGGAATAATATAATACTCTTATACTTTTACTGTGTCTTAAATATTTAATAACAAATTTATAAAAGTAGGAATAGAATTATGCCCTTTCTAACTTCTACAAAACCATGAAAAAACCATAATCTCCTTTAAATTTTGCCACCCTTGGGGTGGCGGCAGGTAGTGGTGAAGTCTACATTCTAGGAGGCTGACCCACACGGGGAGGTTCTGGATCTATCACTGGAGATCTCCCTGAGGACGAGCAGAATATGCACATGCCCGCGTGATCTGGGACGGAGTCAAATGCTTTGTTAAGACCCTGTCTATTAAGTTGTTCACCCTCTCTCTTTTTCTCTACCTTTTCCTCTTACCTCTTATTCTCAGAAGAAATAAATTAACTTCAAGAAAAAAGAAAACTTTCTGCCATTTTCATCCAATGGAAATCTCAATCATTTAACCTTCTACCTATATATTTAAGCCATGACTACTTCTTGTAGGCTTTGACTTGGGGCTGTATACAGAGAAAAGATAGATATGGCCCTTTTTCTAAAGTAGCTTAAATTCCATTGAGAAGACAAACAATAAGTGAAATAAAAACACAATTATATAATTACAAACTACAAATATAATTAAGACATTATAGCTAGTGCTAGGAAAAAGTATAATAAAAGACTTAATCTAGTAAGGTAGTCAGTAAAGGCTTGTCTGAGGAATGCTCTTGGAATGCTCCTAAATAATGATCTATGGCATGAAGAAGTTTTGAAAGTTCAGGAACCAAGAAAGTAGAATTTTCAAAGCAGAACAACACTTAGGAAGACTTCAAATAGGACACAGCAGAGTAATCTCAGATTAGGTAATTCAAAACATACTTTTTGCTAAAATCAACTGAAGACCTAACAAGTTTAAAACTCCATATAAAAAAGAAACCCTGAGAGATAAGACTGGCATTTAAGGCTGTTTTTCCTTGCTGTTAACTGGTAACGCTAGTAGAGGCAGCTAAGAGATTGAGAAACAGAACAGTTTTTGTAACTTATGAAGTAGAAGAAGGAAAATTAGAGTATAGCTTTGAGAAGAGAAGGAAAGGAGATCTGAAGACAAGGGGCAATGCCTTGGTAGGTGGCTGAGCTGTAGGTGTGGATAATTGATCAACTATAACAGTAATGGGAAAACGAAAACTATTGGGTCATCGGAAAGTCCTGATACATTTTTGCATAGAAAAACAGAAAAATGCGTCATGACTTTCTCGACAACCTAATAGACTTCCAGGAACTAAGGGCCAAATTTTAATCATTCCAAATCCCGCCTGAATTAAGATGATCCAGAATTGCTAATACCCCATAGCAATCTGCTAAACAATTATAAATCCTACCTAAAGCTTCAAATTATTTATAAAATTTTTATAAAGTCTGGCATTTAAACAAAACCAACAAGGTATATAGAAAAATTAATAATTGAAGTTTTTAAAAGAGAGAGAAATACCAGGAAATACAAGTAGGCCAATGAAGATCCAGAAAACTGAATGATCATACAAAGATCTAAAATACACCTAATAGGGTTTCCGATTTCTGGCCTGGCATAAGGTTAGAAGTCTTCATTCCATCCTAACAAGTAAAAAGCTGAAATTAACTCTTCTTGAACCTCATCGGAGAAATGAGGTCACAGGACAAACCACTGTCCCAAAAAACTGGGGAGGCAAATATCTTACCAGAGCATAAGCAGGAACCTCGGTGTGAATCAGCGGCAGGATAGCTAAACTTGAACTATAATTGATAAATTGCTGTAGGCTAGAGACCAGCAAATGACATTAATGGTTCCATTATTGGACTCCCACATATCAACCGTGGTTCAATTCCCAGACCCAGCAGCTTAAAGCTCATCATGCCAGGCATGTGTGCATGAGTGCCCAAAATCCTGAGAGGAGAAGGGATTATGTGGCCATTCCCTGGGGAGTGATTTCTCACATATTGTCTCTGTCTCTCTCTGTCTCTCCGGGGAGTACATGCACCCTATAGCAAAAATCTCCCTTTAAAAAATATGCTGGAGGCTGAGTGTGAACAAGCTAGGAGATAAAAACCCCAGAGTGGGACAAGTCAGTGGTGGGGTGGCTAAGGCAGCTGGATTCCACACGGTCAACTAGGCAATTTGAGTCCTGGACCCAGAAGCTTGAAAAATGTACCAGGGACATGTGTGTGTGTACTCAGAATCTAAAAGTAGAGAGAAATGGAGGAGAAGGGACTGTAGCATGGCCATCCCCATGAGGGTTATTTTCTCATTTTCTCCCCCCACACCCCCATCTCTCTCTCCATCTCTCTCTGGTGAGCTCACGTGCCCCCTGGCAAATAAAAAAACAAAAACAAGAACAAAAGCTCTAGAGTGACCCAACTACAGAGGGACTTCACATTTTTGTAATTTTTACCTCCTGAACCTCTACCTGGTCCTCACTATAAATATCAGGGGAAAAATCCCCTCATACTTCTAGCAGAGAGTAAGGAAAGAAATCACTTGGAAGTATGCCAGACCGTTCTGTTTTCCTAACAAGGCTTGCCCTCTGAAGAAACTATCTTACTGCAGCTTAACCTGCTGAGATTGTACCAGAGCCTAAACTACCTGGGGAGGGAAAGAGCCACCGGCAGCCAGCCCTAGGCCTGTATGTGAGGAAGGAAAGCACCCAATTCCAGCTGCCTTTAGTCTTTTCCATGAGAAAAGTGAAATAGCCAATGACCTCCCAGTCTAGTTTTCCACACTGGGGAAGAGAAATACTGTCCAGCTCCTTTTAGGCATTCTGTCCTAACAAAGGGTTCAAAAACTGAGAAGCACTAGTGAAGTTCACAATCCAAGGGCAAAGGCTTACCAAAAGATGACAGAACACTCACGTCTCCTCACATCTGACCCATACATTTCCCCCAGAGCCCCTTTACTCCAAACATGTTGTCTTGCTTTCAGCAAATAAGTACAAAGTATGCTAAAAGTCAATGAACACAGTTTGAAGAAACTGAACAAATATCAGAGCCAGAGTCTGATATGGCAGGAATGTTTAAATAATCAAATCAGGAATTTAAAAAATAAAAAACTGTAATTCGCTAAAGAACCTAAGGAGGAAAATTAACAAAATGCAAAAGTAGATCACATAAGTAAAAAGATGAAATTTTTAAGGATCAAGATAAAGGTGAAAAGCACAGTAACAAAGATGAAGAATGCCTTTGTTGAGCTCATTAGCAGACAAGACACAGCTGAGGAAAGAGTCGCAAAGCTTGAGGATATGACAACAAAAACGTCCAAACTACAAAGAGAGAAAAGACCAAATAAAATAAATACAACAGAATATCCAAGAACTGTGAGTGCACTACAAAAGGTGTAATACGGACATAATTAAAATACTGGGAGGAGAAAAAACAAAGGAACAGAAATATTGGAAGCAGTAATAGGGAATTTCCCAAATTAATATCAGACATGAAACCAAACATACAGGAAAGTCAGAGAACACCAACTAGGATAAATGTCCAAAAAATTACACTTAGGCATATCATCTGCAAACTTCAGAAAATCAAATATAAAGGAAATGTCTTTAAAAAAAAAAAAACAGAAGAGAAAAAAACACTTTATCTATAGAACATAAAAATTATATCTGACTTCTCCTCAGAAAAGATGAAAGAAAAGAACGGAGTGAAATATTTTAAATGTTAAAGAGAAAAAAAAATCTAGAATTCTGTACTCTGCAAAATTATCCTTTAACAGTTATTTGGCACACAAACAATAATTGACCACAGCCTAGTAGTGAAGAGAGCTGGATCTCCACGGCTGGCCGCAATTCCAATTCTGGGGACCAGCCAGTGGCGTGACGTTTAGGGACACTGGACTCCCTCATGGCTGACCACAGTTTGAGTCCCAGACCTGGTGGCTTGCTTTCTCATTTTCCTCTCTCTCTTGCTGTCTTGCTCTGTCCCTCTCTGTTCAAATTAAATAAATAAAGCTTAATAAAATAATAATTTTTTAAAATTCTGGCCCAGTGACTTGAAAAACTGACTGGGGGCATGGGTATGTGTGTCCGAAGTCATGACAAAATGAAAAAATGGAGAAGGAATTGCAGTTTGATCACACCCCACTGGGGGAGTGTGGTGCTTTCTTCTTCCCTCTCTCTCTCTTTCCCGCTCTGTTTCTCTTTCTCTGGCAAGTGAACACACCCTCTAGCAATTAAAAAAAAATTGAGGGACTTGGTTTTCAGAAGACCTATCTTGCAAGAGACATTAACAGACCTTTTTTTCAGAGAGAAGGAAATTGATATATTTAGATCAGAAATTAAGGTCCACAGGTCAGCCTGTGGCATGGAGGTCAAGGTGCTGGATTCTGACACAACCAACCATGGTGTGAGTCCCAATCCCACCAGCTTGAAAATCATGCTGAGCACATGTACTTATGTGCCCAAAATCCCCAGAGGAGAATGGAGGACATGGGATCATGGCATGCCCATCCCCCAGGGAGTGATTTCTCACTTTCCCTCTCTGCCTCTCTCCAGTGAGCACACACCCTATAGCAAGAACTTAAAAAAAAAAAAAAAAAAGTAAAGTGGGAGAGAGAAGGAAGGAGGGAAGAATCGAAGGAAAGCAAGAAAGAAAATGGAAAATAAAACCAGTATCACTCACTACAATGACTAAAATTTAAAATGCTGGTAATGTTAAGAGTTGACAAGAATGTGGAGAACGAGAACACTAT